AAAAAATAAAATTATTATACGTGTTTTCCAAAACCCCTGTTTAGCCCAGATATGCCTTGTTTCAGCTATTCCCTGAAACATAAACTCTAACCATTTAAAATAAAAATACTAGAACTGCAGTAGGAGTTAGACTGATTTGATTTGAATGGCAACTAAAACTGCATAAAAAATGCTAAGCCATGCAGGTCATATTCTGATAAGTATTTAGACAAGGTGCTTATGTTTATTTCATTGTACTTCTTGCAATGCTTGTCATTCTTTGCTTAGGAAATGATGCAAATGCCATAACGAACATAAATACCATAGTGTGATAAACAGACAATGTTTATCATTGTTTTCTTTCTTTGAAAAAGTTATTTGCTTTTTCTTAGAGAAAAAATATGCAGTAATGATCCAAAACAGTGCAATCTTGTTCTACCACAAATGTTAAATGCTGAAGTATGTTTTAAGGGTCCAATCTAATCATAGATGTTTGTGTATACATAAGACAAGTATTTTTCCAATATTCTCAGAAATATATTTCTTAAATTATTTCAGTATGCAGTCTGAATTTTCTGTAAGTAAATATAAAGTGAGCTACACACAAGCAATGCTTAGAAATTATGCAATCCAGCAATCCATTACAATATACCAATACAGAATTGTCCCATAAATAGATCTCCTTATTGGCTGTAAGGGGGTGTCACTGTCAGACACAAAATGATTCACACAGACGCAGCTCAAAGTGTGATGAAAGAAGAAGGAAGTTTATTTTGTTCTTTCAGTATTTATAGGTTTTTGACAATGACCAGGGATTGGATAGTCAGGTTACCACCTTCCCAGCCACACTGGCCGTGAGAGACGTCCATCAGAAGTCATATCTTTAATGGAATGTATAAAGACCTGTGTTTATGGTTACTTTCCTGGGAAAATGGCTAGAAATTATGAAAACAATACCGAAAGGCCTGATTCTCAGGGTGACAAGGGGGTAAATTCTTTTTTAATTTTTCATGTTTTTCATATTTGTGTTAATTTTTCACGAAGTTTTCATATTTGTGTTCAGTTAAGAAGAGCACCAGTCAGCTTGGATGCTTATCTGAATACTCTTGTATTTGAAAATTTAACTGGAAATCTTAAAAGAATCTAAATACTTCCTGCTCTAAATCAAGCCTGAAGTATCTTGAGCACTGCCTTTGTTGTGGCATTTGGGTACTTGCTTTTCTAGTCTCAGACAGAAACCAGAAGCGCAAAAGCTTGCTTGTCAAAACTAGAAGAATGGGAAAATTTGTTAACAAAACACTCAAAAATGTATGACTGTTTGGAGGTCTGAGGTACATAGTTTAGGGTATTTGCCATTTATCTATAAAAGAAATATTCAATATTCTAGTTCCGAGACTTATGATCCTCTGTGAAGGGTATTACATAATATATTTTAAAATAAATACATTTGTATATAGTTATAAGCTATTTTTAAGAGCAGGGGTCCATTTAATCTGCATTATACTTATGTTTATTATATTTTCAATTGTGAAATTATATGAGTCAACAAAAAATTAGTTCACTGATAACCATGGCAATTACTCTTTAGAAAGGAGGAAGACCGAAGAAGCATTGTGAAAGAATAATCTCCCTCTAGATTTGAATTTATTGAACAATGGAAAGTTGCTGTAGATCTTGAAGTCTGGTCCTTGCCTGTATTTGGTGGATGTCTGAGGGCCTGCTTCTACTAGATTATCCAAGCAGCACTTGTCATGGATGGGAGAAAGTCTTAACCAAATAGCTCAAGGAAAAAGCAAGTGTAAGACTCACTGAAGCACTGCTGTTTGTTCATAATGAGTTAGGGAAGCTTACCCAGAAGCACACATATTGAAAAATGCCATGGCTCCAGACAAAGTATTTCCCTGGCTTCCCAATACCATATACCCATACGTAGATAAACAAATGCCTAAGACATTAACCTTTCTAGTACTAGGGGGAAAAAAAGGCCAAATCAAAATTTTCAAAGTGAAAAGTTATACCTATGAAGAGCTTTTACTGAAGAATATAGGGAGAAAGAAAGAAATAAACTGTAGTTAAAATATACATTAACTAACACAGCAAGCTCAGTGTTTGTGTCCTCTGGTGTTTTATAAAGACTGCTCTTTTTACAGAGTCGTGTTGTCACTTATGACTTTATCATTGGGAAACAGGACTTCTGACATACTAGTGGATAAAAGAATTTCTTTTAAAACTACTGTCTTAATTAACAGAAATATTCATAATATTTATATTGTAACAAAATAAATTAGGAAAAGTTATTACTCATTCATACTGCCAAATGATCCTGGGTAGGCACAAAGTCCAATGATAAAGTCCTAAAGTATCAATTTTTAGAACTATCCAATTCTCATTAAAAAATAATTATATGTCTAATATTCATCAGCTATTTGTAAATTCAGATCTTATGTCCTTGCAAAGACTTTTGGAATTTTTGCCACATCAAAGCCCCCTTGAATAAAATTCAATTTTTTTTTAATATTTTACTTACTATTTTGTCTTTCAAATCAATGGTCTAAATGCTCAATTCTTCACCTATGCTGTCTGTACTGTAGTAACCACAGGCCCACTGCCACCCTCTGCTTCTGAGAAAACCCCATCCCTTGACCCCAACTAAAGAAATATTATGAGGGCTTAGTAGGAGTTAAAAGAATCCCTGGATAACGTCTGCGGAGGGAGACATCAAGAACAGTGATGTACTTTAACATCTTAAAACTAAATTTTGGAAGCAAAGGAAGTGGTCCTGTAGATAGCATAGAGAAATGAAGAATGGGAAGAGAGAGAAAGAAGAGAGAGAGAGAAAGAGAGAGAGAAAGAGAGAAAGAGAGAAAGGGAAAGAGAGAAAGGGAAAGCAAGGAAGGGAGAAAACAAGAAAAGCGAGAAAGCAAGAAAAAAAAAAAGAATGTTTTTCCTAGGAAATTATTTTTCTGAAAAGCTGCTGTCCAGTCAAGGCTACGTTGGTCCTTCCCAGTCTATTGCTTGGTTGAGAAAACACATGAACATAGGGAAGGCAGTGTATTGACAGTGCATTGACAGCACTGCTGTCCTTCACAGAGGACATCTGTGCATTAAAAGCAGTTCAGGATCCATTTCTGTGGATTAGGATGAGCAAGAGTTCCGTCTCAAGCATGGATATGACTCCCCAAGCTTGGTGGCCATGCTCACTTGATTTGCAGCCCTACCTTTCTGCTCTACATGTGGGTTCTTCGGTCAGAAATCCACCTGCTCTACATGTGGCTCTCTGGTCTGGTTTTCAGCCACATTCCAGTCCCAGTGACAAGAGGAAACAGGCACAAACTGAAACACAGGAGGTACTGTCTGAGCACAAAGAAACATCTTTTTATTGGGAGCGGGACTGAGCACTGGGACAGGTGTCCAGAGATGGTGTGAAATGTCTGTTCCTGGAGATATTCAGAAGCTGTACGGACATGGTCCTGGGAAACAACAAGCTGTAGGACCAGGTCACCAGATGACCTCCAGAAGTTTCTTCCAACCTTAGCCATTCTGAGATTCTGTGATTCTGTGTGCAACATGATCCCTCCTTGTGTCTCTTTCCAGCACAGTTATCATATATGCTTAACACACAGTGGACACAAGAGTTAAGAGTCCTGTGAAATCACTTTCAGCTGAAGCCAAATTCTGTCACTAACTAAACTCTATTGATTAGGCTTTTACCTTCTACCTTCTTTGAAGCAAGGTCAGATTTTAAGGAGATTGGTGTTATGAGACTCAAACAACTAAGGTATTCCTTAGCCTAGATAAACCTTGAGGTTGATATTGCATTCAACCTAATGATCATTGCACTTTTAATTTGAAATATCCTTCTTAATCTAACAGGAATAAGAACAGTTTTGAAAAAAAACAATTTCATTCTCCTCCAGCTGGCCAAATTTTTGTCATCAAAAGGGTTTTTACATATATACAAAAGAAAGAAACTACATAATATTGATTCATACTTGCTGTTGCAAGAATACTTTCCAAACCAGGAAATTTTCTCAGTATTCAGCATTTCCACTTCTTTCTCTTCTATATTTTAATGGCCTTCTGTGAGGTATGACATCTCCCTGTTTTTAAAGATGAAACAAAATATTTCATCCCTTGTTCATTTTGAGTTCCTCTCCTTACTCTAAATCTGCTGTTTTTTAAGAGTGCCACAGAAATTTTAAGTGTCAGTATTATCTTTTTCTCTATGAGTCTAACGGACATTAGTAGTTAATTCTAGATAAATTCTAAAAACCATGAAGAGTTCATTGTGTTCTATAAGTAAAAAATTAAGATATGGTAAAATTTCAAATGTAAAATTCCACTAAAGGTTAAGTTGACAACACTGCTGTAACATGTCCTCTATTATTTGCTTGTATTAACATCTACTGCAGGGTTTTGATATTTTTTTGTTACAATTTTGTACAAACATAGCAAAATCTGTGGATTATGTAAATTGAGATATTTTGTATGTAGTTACTGAGGAAAGTTAAAATTGAACTATGTAATTATGTCCAGATCTTTCCTTCTTTATTTTCATGATCATTCTTCGTACAGCATATTTACTACCTTTTTCAACTCAGAGCCTTGAGTGAACACATTAGACAGTAATTAATTTCTAAAGCATTTATAACTTTGTAATAATTGACATATTATTTCAACAAAGAGTTTCTACCACATGTATTTTTCTTCTATCAGAATATATACAGTTAAAGGAGTCACATATTAGTAAAGAAATGCAATGTAAATGTCTCTCTTATCAGTTAAGCTAAAAATGCTGTGGGTTCATTTTGGCCTTCAAGTTACAAAAGTACATTTTCAGTCCCTACAGCAGCATCAACATGTATGTAAATATTAAAATAAAGCCTCCCTCATGATATTAATCATTATTGAATGTCACAAATTTTAATTCTTTTTTTCTTCTAAATAATGTGGTAGAAACTGTATATATAATTTTTAATTCATAATAAACTAATATTTTTCTCATCTGAATTAAATTACAGTAATTTAATTTAGAGAGCAAGAGCTCTGGACCAGGACCCTTTACTATGTAAAGGAAAGAAAATCCTAAGGGAAAACTGTACACAGTGAAGTGTTGGGCTGGTTGAAAAATATTGAATTTCAAATGTTTCTGATGAGAAGTAAGACTTTTCAGTCAATATGATGACCAAAAAAAATCCTTTTTACACAGAACTATCAGCTGGTCTGCAGGCTAGAGCTAATCCAGCAGCATGTGCATCATACTGTAGATACTAAATCTTGGCGGCAGAAATCTTTGTGATAGGATTTATTGTTCTTGAGCAATACATCCCACAATGCTCTTTGACACTGGAGTTTATTTAATAGGATCAGACCCAGATTCTTTCTTCCAGACTCTCCTATTTCATTGCTCACAGTGGGTTCTTAGAAGTTCATTTTCTTACATGTGACTTCTCCATAAATATGAGACAGAAAGGTCTTATTTTATTTGCCATCTGTTTATACTCCTTCAATGTTCCTTTTCTGCATTAACTTCCACATCTGGTTCCACACTTTCCATAGCAGGCCAAAATTATGGCCACATCCACTATCTTCACAACCCCCTCTCCATTTCATGAACTTATCCACAGTAAAAATTGCCAGAGTAACAGTGTAATTTGAAGTCTTTGGGGAAGACTTCATTCCTTTTGGGTGCTTTGACTTCAAGCTTCTTTCCATTTTTACCAGACTGAGGAAAAATCGGGAGTGTATGATTGCTTCTAGGAGGTACCATACCAATATTGTCCTTGTAACCCCCTTGGAGCGTGGAGTGTGTGCCAAGTGTCATGTGCTGTCCACTGTAAGGATATGTTGAAACACAGAATTTCCCACAGAAAGGTGACTGAGATCTATGACTCACTTCATGTAATTTCTGAAAATAAACAGTTTTTACGTAGCTATGATTTCCCATCCTTGTTAGCTGAGCCAAATTTGCAATGGTGGCCTAGAAATATGTGTGCCTACTATGCCAAGACCATCAAGTTAGAAAGTCATTGTTTCCTTCTCCCATAATTCATCCTAATTATTTTGGATCCTTTTGACTTTGATCAAATGAGAGCACTAAAAGTTTTGCAATCTGACTGCTCATGGCTATTCTTTTCGAAGCCCTCTGTTTTGCCAAATTTTTATTCTAATCCTTTTGTCCTGAAAGTTAAACAATGACAGGTCCCTCCCACTGACCTCTGCCCTTGTGTGCCTCTCCCCAGTGCTGTTCATACATGCTGCTGTATCATCATGCATGTGAAAAAAATACAGAGATTTGAAGTGGAGGTTAGGATGTCAGGAAAAAGTGTTTGATGGAATAACTTGACTGAAGGTGGTCAGCTGCATCAGCAGAACACCTGAGACTCTGAGCATATTATTTGCCCACTACTTTGTGTCCCCTGAATGCTTTCCAAGCATTTGAGAGCTGCAGACATATTACCTGAGCTCAATTTCCAAAGACACACCACAGAGGTTCCAATGTTGTAACTGAGCGCCTCCACTGCCAAGGGGTCATCCCGATGAAATGTTACTATTTTCTGGTTTAGGCTTTTAGTTTTAGTAGTTTCATGACACCTCTATTTCTGTAGGATAATTTTAACTCCATAGCCATCCTTTTTCTGGAAAGTAGCAAGGCAATCAAGGTAACTTTTCATTGCTACTCAAAATAAACAGTCCATACTTTCTAGCAGTTTCTCGGTGTTTCCTTCATTCCTTAGTGATTTCTAAACTTCTCAGTTTTCTTTTTAATGCCAAATCAGATTGCGAGACTCTGGGGCATTAATTGCACCCTAGGTGCCAATCATTTAAAAAAAAAACTGCCCACAGATGTTGCAATGAGTATTGCAAAGTTCCATGAATACTTCAGAAATGTTGGCCTTTTTCCATAATCAAGCAAAAAAATCTGACCATGGGATCTTTTGAAAAATTTACCTTCACACATTGCAAAATATATTTTCACCTCCCTGGGAAGATTTTGAGACATGCTGCATATATATATATATGATCTTCTAACGCCTCCATTCAATGTGTGTTCAAAAAGTACAGCATGTTTCTTGCTTCTCTGAGTTTATCACAGGACAAGGTGGAGGAAAATAAAGAGTCAAAATTTGGTGCTTTCAAGAGAAAAGAACATTTGTAACATTGTGGAAACAGGAAGGAAGTTGTCCTTCATTCATTCAAAGGCAAAACAGCTGTTTTTGATCCTGAGAGCTTCTAATATTTAGAATCATAGAATCATAATTTATAGGCTAGATGAGGAATTAATTCTGTGATTCCACAATAAAATTATCTAGATTGAGAAAGATCCTTAAGGTCACCAAGTCCAGTTGTTCACCACAAACTGTGTACCCAAAAGCCCTATCCACATGTTTTTCAAAAACTTCCAAGGATTCCACCACTTCCCTGAATACCTTGTTCCTATGGTTAACCACCTTTTCAGCAAAGAAATTGCCCTAATACCCAATCAGCCTCCTCTGTGGAACTTCAGGACATTTCCTCTTGTCCCGACACTTTTTAGGAGAAGAGGTCTGGCTACACCCTTTTTGCAGGCAGTTGTAGAGAGTGATAAGGTCCCCCCTGAGTCTCCTTTTCTCCAGCCTAAACAGCTCGTTCAGCTTCTTCTCATAGGGCTTGCACCTCGTTGCCACTACCAAAAACAATAGACAGAAAAAGACAATGAGAATGAGCAGATTGATAACTCTACATCCATAAGGCCCTCATAGCCAAGCCCCAGTTAATCAGGTTACCTGTGGGGTTATTAACACCATCTGCAGCGACCAGATGAATACAGATGACCGAGTGAAAAGATCAATTTCAAATACATTCTGCTTTGTTTTCTGCTGGCAGCCAATTATTTTCTACCCTAGTCTGGCAGTGTTTTTGGTAATAATAAAAGTATATCAGGGAATGAGTGTTTCTCAGTATTTCACAATAATTTGAGATCTTTATCACAATTAAGCTTTGTGAACTGAATCATATTCCTTCAGCTAGCTCTACATGATATTATTTCAATTACAGTAATATAGGTATAATTTTTTTAAAGTACTTTTTAACTATTTTTATTTTACTTTCTGTAATTTTTTGAGTGCTTTCTTAACATGCACTAGTGGAATTATCATAGAAATCCATGGAAATAATGTGATGATATGATGTGCGGTAAAAACATGCTTAAGTAATTTCTGGGTATTATATTTTCATAAACTAATCTCTTGTATCATAAAGGGAGCAATTTTCACCTTTTTATACAGGAAAATATTACATCCAAGATCTGTGATATAAGATCTGAATTAAGTTTTCTCTTTTATGGAGGATTCAACTAGCTTTGTTTTGTCAATTTTTCCAGACCAACGTGTTTTAAAGGAAAATTCAAACCAAATATACCATTCTTTTGTAGACTTGACAATGTTTGGCCCTCAGCTTTGAAAACAACACTGTTTTGTTGGGAAAAAAATACGTTTTCAGAAGTGATACTTTTAAAGTGATGTTGAGACATCTCAAAAATACTTGGCATTAGCTAAGATCTGCTCCTATTAAAGACAAAAGATGTATTAACACCACCTCCAACATGCACCAAATAGAGCCAGCAAGTATCACTTTTCAAAATTTTATTCTGAGTTTATGAGATAAAAAAGTACTTTTAAAAAAAGAAAAACAAATATTTCCTGGTCTGCCAACCGCTCTGCAGACTCAGTCAAGTAGGATTATTTCTGAGTTTTGCCACATCACCAATACCAAAATACTTTGCAAGCACTTTTTCAACTCATTAACTTTATGCAGCCCCATTACACTGAAGAAGATTGTACAACTCTTAGTAATGGTGACAGAATCTAGCCCAGCAACTAAAGCAAAGCTTTAACATCATTATGTTGATGAGAAAAACAGTAGAGTATCTTTAACCTCTTTAACAAAACTCTGTGTGTTCCCATTCAAGGAGATTAGCTCCAAGTATTCAGAGAAGAGATAATGTTTACTGATAAAACCATGATCATAGAAATTTGTTGTTTCTCTCTGTAAACAGAATTCCTCTTAACAGTGGGAAGACCTGCTTACACATCATGGAATGAAACAGAGGCACACATCACTTATAAATATTTGCTTATTGTTTTCAGAGCAACAGTACTGTACTTAAGAGTGTGATGTAAGGGCCATACTGTGCCAATCCACACAAGATTTAAAGTGTTACCTTCCTCTCACCAGCAGTCTGAGTATTTAGCTCAAGCTGTGCATACCTCCTTCTGACAAAGCCCCAAAGGTGTGTTGTGCAACCTCTCTACCAGACTCTAGAAGTGGGCCTCACGTTAATATGTGCCTGTCTTTGTACGGGTTCTGTCATTTATGAAAATGATTCTCTGAACAGGGCCAATACCCACCAGCTCCAACACAGATCCACCAAGGCCAAGCTCATCAGTGATGATGGTAGCACCTCTGGGCTAAACTAGTTAACAGCCAGAGAGAGGAGTGAGAATATGTAAGATAAACAGCTCTGCAGATATCAAGGTCGGTGAAGGAGGAGGAGGAGGAGCTGTTCCAGGCACCAGAGCAGAGATTCCTCTGCAGTTCTTGGTGAATGTGTCCCTCATATCCCAACAGAGGTTCACAGAGGAGCAAGCATCCACTTGCAGCCTGTGGAGGACCCCACACTGGAGCAGGGGATGCCCAAAAGAGGCTGTGACCATGTGGGAAGCTCACACTAGAGCAGGATCCTGGCGAGACCTGTGTCTCTTTGGAGAAGCCCATACTGCAGCAAGTTTGCTAGCAGGAACCTATGGAGGATCCACACTGGAACAGAGTGTTCCTGAAGGACTGCATCCCATGGAAGGGACTCACACTGGAGCAGTTCATGAAGAACTGTAGCCCATGGGAGGGACTCAGGTTGGAGAAGTTTGTAGAGAGCTGTTTCCTGCGGGAGGGGCCCCACGCTGGAGCAGGAAGAGAGTGTGAGTAGTGCTAGCCCTGAGGAGGAAGGAGTGTCAGAGACCAAGTGTGACAAAGTGACCACTGTCCCCATCGCCCTTCCTCCTGTGCCACTGGGATAGAGGAGGTAGAGAAAGTCATGAGTTAAGCCTGGGAAGAAAGGAGGGGTGTGAAGCATTCACATTTGTCTTCCAGAGCAAGAAGCCCTACTTCTCAGGAAGTAGAAGCAAATGTAGAAGTAGAGAACAAATCTTTAGTTTCCCTTAGCTTCCATGCTTGCCCTTTGCTTTATTAAACTGCCTTTATCTTGACCCACAAGTTTTGTTCGTCCTGAACTCCTGCCCCCACCCTCTTGCTGCTGAGGAGGGAAGTGATAGAGCAGCTTGGTGGACACCTGGCGTCCAGCCAAGGTCAACCAACCACAACATACTAATATTTTGATGAGATAGTTCCTACTCTTTGGGACTGACTCATTTTTCAATGAGTGATGAAAAGAAAATTCTATCACATAGTTTTAAAGAAGCATTCATGAATTACTGCATAACTCTTAAACACACAAGCTACCTCACACATTAGAGAAATTTAAGTATCTCGGTGTTATGAGACACAATTCTTGTCACAGCAATCCCTTTTGACTATATTTTTTGCCATGACACATTTTCTAAGCTTATTTTAGTCTCTTTCTTCAGGTAAACAGTAGTACTCAGTAAATATTACAACACTTTCTGAAGTCCAAGGGGCTGAAGAACACACTTTCAATTAGGAGGAGAAAAAAAAAATCAAACCAAAAGATCTTTTAAAGACTTAAGGGAATACTTCTTTATGTAACAAGAGATTATTCTGTCCCTTGCATATTTGATGCGTTCTCCTGCCGCATCAGACAAAGGTATTGCTCTCAATTGAATCCCATGGAGCTGAAGTGTAGCTCAGATACACTGACAACGCTGGATTTTATAGGATCCAGGGATTTGCTTCCCCCTCTTCTCCCACTGTGAGTGCCAGTGGTCCCCTGCTTCCTGTCTCCAGCTGATCCCAGTAGTGGGATGGTGGAGGGTCAGGGAGAAGGGGAGGGGGTGGCTGGGGATGGGGGCTGGCAGTGTCTGACAACTGAAACAGATGATGCCGCACACCACCTATGTAAACAGAAATAGGCGCTGGGGCTGATGGAGCACAGAGATATGACCCTGCCCATAGAGCCGCTGAGTCTAGACTCCAGATGTGTTCTCACTGTTACCAGGCCAATTCAGATCCAACTGGTAAATATTTCTACCAGATGACAGTGGGCTCAGTTACAGAAATGAGGACAAAGGACAAAAATAGGCAGAAAATGAGTACTGGGCATTATTGCTGCTTAGAAAAATATTCTGCATAGTTTTGGAGATGTTAAGGGGCAATTATTTAAATAGATCATATACATTCTTTTATTTTCTTACCATGTTCAGCTGAAAACATTCCAAGTCAAACTGAAGGCTATTTAGGCAAATTAGTCACTTAAAATGAACTGAAACAGAGGTCTATAAAGGATAAAATAAAATTTATACTGGGACTTTACCATATGGACATACAGAAATGAGAAAAAAACATAGTGTTGATAACCTCAGGCTGGTAAATACCAGTTTATTGGGAAGTGAGTGTTATGTGATTTATTTACAGAAATGAGTGATTATGGAACAAGGACACTCTACAGAAACAAAATTCAGGACAGAAACCCCTGTCTGCTGGTGTTTCATCACCCCATATGTAAGATTGTGACTCCTGGTACATGTGGTGTTCAGAATGTCGTAAAGTGTGTTAATTAAGCAGCAACCAAGCACCACTGATGAAATCAAGGCTCTGACAGGATTTAATATGTTACTGTTTTACATCTGCCTCAGAAAACTAGAGGGAAAAACAGAGCTCTGCAGTGATCTGGGCTCTTTTCTTCTGCCCTCTTCTTCATATATGGTATCATGCCACATAACCGCAGGCTAAAGTTTTGTCTTTGCAGAGAGTTGCAGTTCTACACTTGGCATAGTGCCAAGGGACTTTAAGCACAGGAGAATATTATCTATATCCTGAAGATATTTGCAATTTGCACAAATATTATAAGGTCTTCTGTTTGAGTCTCATGTTTGCAAGATGGCTGTCAATAAGTGATTTCAACAGGAGATGTGGACAGAAGACACACAGTTTTAAATGGTCTTTTTCACTAATTGACAAAAGTAGGAGTCCTGCTTTTCACACTTTGGTTGAGCTTTCCTGAGATTGTCTGGCAGATGAGTAGGACAAAAATCACAATACATCAATGGAGATAAGAGATAGAGTTTCAAATATAAAAGGAAATGAATAAACAAAATTTATTTTAAAATTTATTTTTATTCTTTCATATAATCAGAAGTTTCTATGAATGTTGTTATGTTGTTTTTCAAACCATTTATGGTTTAGACTAAAGATGTCTCTTGGCATGTCTCATACTGAACATGGTGAGAAATATATAACCTCAGCCTTGCAAGAGTATTTTGGGGGTGTTTTCTCCTCACCCCAGTAACCGGTAGACAAATACTTTTTTTTATATATATATATATATGCCCATATATATATATATGGGCATGCAAAAAGCATCCAGATCAGCAGAGATTGGAGCCATGATATCTATAAAAGCAAAGTTAGGAATGGCTTAGCTATTAAAATGATCACATTAAACAAGGAATAGCTTGGTGTCTCACTTTGGACTCATAAACCAGCAGCAGGAGC